AAGATTGGTTAAAATTTGAATGATTTTTATTAGAAGTAATTATTAATTTTTATATTGAGGTACAAATCTTTTTGCACCGACCCATATAATTGATAATTTATTGATCAATTTTTATATTTTTATATTTTTATTTGAGAAATGATATTGTTTAAATGCTGACTGATAGTTTGAGAGAAATCATTTAAAACAATTTTATTTTTATAAAGTTCTAATAGATTTTAAAAATAGCTTTTAGATTTCTTGCATTATATGGCTTGGACATCGTGTATATTTGATATGACAATGGCATTTGCAGATTTGTTATTTTTCTGACATCATCCGATCAGTTCGCTGATCTGACACCATCCGATTTTCCCGATGCAGTCATTCAACAAAATTACAGTCATAAGAAAAATTCTTATCTATTTACATCTGGTAACAAGTATAATGTCACGTGAAAGTAGACATAGTATAATAAATAAAATAGCCGGTAATAACTAAAATTTTACCCATATGGCACCAAAAAAGGCTTTAAATGTAAAGCCGCTGCACCGCGTCTTCTGAGAGTTCCGAAGTTTAATAATAAATAAAAAAAACATTGTATGTGCGTCTGCCTACCTTACTGTCTTTAATATATTTCTTTACTTATATATCGCTTTTATAGTATATTGAAAAAGAAATAGAAAAAAAGCATATTTTTTTTGATCTATATGGTTGATATTAATAATGACTAAGAATAAAGAAGACTTGTCGGCTACTAATGCTACTGTTGACGACTTGGTAATAGTAAAGGTATAAATTTACCAATTTTTAATTTGGGGGTGAGTTTTTGTTAAATGGATAAATCGAATATTATGTTAAATTCTGTTATCCGATCTTTCTTTTTTTGCATTATCGCGTAAAATCTTTTTCAATAGATTAATGCACGATGGATTTCATATAGCCACACTATTCTGGGATATGGTAATCACTTTATTTCTTTTCGATAATCATTTTGTTTATTGATTAAATTATTTTTTTCTATTTTAGTTGCCTTTATTTCTGCGTTAATTGTTGCCTGTCTAACGCATTATCGTCAAGTTGTAAAGAATGAACATTGGGGATATCCAGAGGTATGTAGCATTTTGCTTTGAGGTTTATTTTTTTCTTTATTCATTCTTTTGCTATAATTATATACATATCAGGAATGGTTCCCGAGTGTCAGTGCAACTACTGGTGACTGGTATCCTGCTCGTTCAATATTTCAAATCACGATTGCTGTGATGTCTGGTGAATTAACAGAAGATCAGTTTTTTGTTTTGCTTTTTTATATGTGATACTTAAAATTTAAATTTTGATTATTATTAAATTAAAGGTCCTCGATTTGCACTAGTATTTTTATTCTATATGATTTCCAATAAACCCAATCACTTATACCCTAAAATACACGCCATTGTTGGTATAATTCGTACATTTTCATGTGGTGGCTGGACATATATTACTTCGACTGAGGACCACCTCATTCATGACATTGCCATGATTACATATGTGGTATTGACCTTACCTTGGATGTTGGGTTGTCTTGCTATTGCGCCACCACATAACAAACAAGCACAGTCCTATAGACGTTGGCTGGTTTTTCTGTTTTTTGGAACATTGGTGCCGATGATTTATTTTTATATCAGGCATAAGTCGTACGCCATCCCTGGTGGTGAGGAAATTTTATCATTTTGATTATTAGTAAAATATACAAATTAATAATTTTTGCCTTATTTCTTTATGATGTTGATAACTAGCATACACAATTTACGCGTTTCATGAATGGTCATTAATTTTCTATGATCTCGCTTTTGATGCGATTAGCCTATACGATTTCAACTCTTTTGAAATACGTATTGTTGATGTTACGCGTCAGCAATCTGGGTATGAGTACAACCGACTGGTCTAATTTAATACATTGTATATATAGTCATCATTATCTATTCGTTTCTTTTTCATATTATTTATTTCAAAATATTAATACTAGGATATTATTATGAACTTTTGAAATAATAAAACAAGAAAAGAACAAAAGACTAATTAGTAATTAACATACCGATCAATCATATAACATTTATTTCACACCAAAAATGATAATAGTTTTTCCAATGGTACTACTACCACTGTTAGTAATGCTACTACAATTGCTGAAAAGACGAAGTAAGTATCAAATAGAAGAGCATCTGAGTTTATTTGGTCATCCTTAAAGGTTTTTCACGTTAATTCTAAGATATCCATGGTAGAATGTTCAATTTGATTTCTAGTTTTAACATGTGGCTGCTCCTCTTATTTAGGACCAACACGAACACAACGACCAGCGATTCTAACAATATCGAGAAAATTATGAATTTTGGATTTTGGTACAATCTCCAGGGGTTTATCGCAGATACTTACCTCGGTAAGTGGAAATATAAAGAAAAGTCGACTTCATTTTTGATAAATTAACTCATAAACATAATTTTTATTTTTCCCAGCATTTGTTTATTGGTCCATGCTCACGTCACTAGGCTTGACAATTTGGTATTTTCCGCTATGGCACATGGGAATATCAGGATATGAAGTATGCCTACTCGTGACTACTTCTCCAGTACTTCTCGGAATTTCGTCAATTAGAAATCTAGTTACTACCAATCGCACTATAATTTATCTTGTTTCTCTATCTGGCCTTACGGCATACTTGTTCACTGATCCCACTACCCGATTATTTGTCGTGTCTTTTGGTGTTGCTATGGCAAATCTTATGTGGATATCCAGATGGGTGGAGAATCGTAACAAAACTGGAAAATTGGAACATGACGCGCTTGTTTGGACATTGGGATTGATTTTGAGCAGTGTGATCAAGATGGCATGGCAGACTAACAATCCTATATGGCCTATAATGCACAAAGAGAATGGTGGATGGAATCTTGTGGGACTTTTATTCGGAGTTGTTGCTACTTTTGAGAAGATTATCTCTCAAAATAAAAGCGCTAATAATGGAAGATTTTCTAACGGTGACAATAATATTAGTAATACAGAAGAGAAGCCACAGCAACAGCAATATAAATTAGAATCCTGGTTTTTTGCCGCTGCTGGATTTGGCTCACTTTTATTCGCATTGCATTCATTATTTTCTGATTCCGCTACAATTACGCGTTGGGTATACCAAGGATATCCGAATACGGGCCCACTTCCTATACCTTGGGGAGCAGTCACAATCATGGCAATGTCCCTCGGTTTACTATTATCCATGAATCGTAAAATAGTCACCAGTTTTCCCTGGTATGTGATTGGTTGTGTATCTTGCTCGTGTATGTACTATTATCCTGCGTGGAATGGATATTACGGAGGCCTCCTATTGGCGGTTTACTTGGTATCCCTCGTGCCGATATTTATTCGTTCGGTTACTCGTTACCCGCCTGGAAGAACATTTTTCACTGCGATGATGATTTACAACCTTTTGTGTTTGGCTCATGTATGGGTCGTCGCCTATGCATTTGTACCAGCTGGTGAATATTTACGTGAACATACCGATTACGTCTTATTTTCAATGATGCTTTTAATTGGTGTTGGTGTTCTTGATGCATCTTCTGCTGATTTCACCTATAAGCAACTACAAATTAATCAAATTCGTTCAGTGAGATTTCTGACAAAAATCGGATTAGCTGCGTTGATTGTTATTTCATGGGTTATCGTTTTCATTAGACTTCCGTCGCAACCGCCACAACCTTATCATGCGGATCAAAAGCTATTGACCACGGGAATATGGACAATTCATTTTGGTCTTGACAATGACATGTGGGCTAGTGAATATCGAATGCGAGATGTAATCAAAGAACTGGAACTTGATGTTGTTGGTACGCGTATACCGCTTTTTTTACTATTTATTTAGGATAATATAACACAAAATTTCTAATATTTTACATATAAAAAAAGGTCTATTGGAATCGGATCTCGAAAGAATAATTATGGGCAACCGTGATTTGACACAATTTCTTGCCGAAGATCTCAACATGTATGCAGATTATGGCCCAGGTCCATCTAAACATACATGGGGATGTGCTATGTTATCCAAATTCCCGATTATAAATTCAACACACCATCTTCTTCCTTCACCCGTGGGAGAACTGGCCTGCGCTATTCACGCTACTCTTGATGTGTATGGTCAACAGGTTGATGTTATAGTAAGTCATAATGGACAAGAGGAAGATCCTGAGGACCGAAGATTACAAACTACCGAATTAGCGCGAATCATGCGTGAAAGCAGGAATCCGTTCATCTTCCTTGGTTATGTAGTTACGAAACCGCTGAATGGTAATTACTTCATTCTGACTATAGATGGTCGAATGAACGATATAGATCCATTAGATGATGATCGGTGGTGTGAATATATTGCTTATCGTGGAGTAAAGCGTACGGGATATGCACGTGTTAGTCATGGTGCTATAAGTGATACAGAGATACAAGTTGGCAAGTTTCAGGTTCTTACAGACGAAAAATATAATCCAGAGACTTGGAAAGCTAGTTATCGACGTATAGAAGAGGAAGAAATCGCACCGGGTTTACGGTTTCCAGAAAAGTTTAAGGGAGATGGAATTCGTGGGCATCGTTATCATGTTTTCAATGAACCACGATATTATGATTAATGCCGAAACGGTGGATATAAAAATAACAATTTTATCCTTAAAGAATTGCAGCAATTTTGAAATCTTAATTTTCCTAATTCCTATAAAAATATCGAAATCAGAACATTAGAGAATTTACGCAATTTGCAAAAAAATCTATTCGCGTAGATTCAATTAAAATATAAAAAAAGCGAGTGTGCATGAATCACTTTTAAATGGACAACGTATGTGTTTGTCAATTGAGGATATTCTAAATATATTAATTAAATCTGTATTTGAACAGCAATAATAATCTATCAAGAAACTAAGCAAGCACAAGATTGGACATCAACTCTATTATTATAATTTTACAATGTATTATTAAATAACGTGGTTATATATTTTATGTGCTTCTAATTTTGTTTCTCAAAATCATAATCTTCAATAGGCGGACACGAACACACAAGATTTTTATCGCCATAAGCATCATCTGTGTAAAAAGTTTTCAAATATAAAAATTCAATACTATAAGCAATAAAAAATTCTGTAAAAAAGATTAATTACCTAATCTTCCAACCCTTGGCCAGAATTTTCGTTCTTTTAGATAATTTGCAGGAAACGCGGCTTGTTCTCGCGAATACGCTTTATCCCAAGTCTCCTTAATAAGAACTTCGATAGTATGCGGAGAATTAGTCAACAAATTATTGTCTTTTAATTGTTTGCCTTCTTCTATCGCTTGTATTTCCTTTCGTATAGAAATCATTGCGTCGCAGAATCGATCTAGTTCAGCTTTTGACTCAGATTCGGTAGGTTCGATCATTAATGTATTAGGCACAGGCCAAGACATTGTTGGAGAATGGAATCCATAGTCCTATACACAATGATCATAATTAGGCTTTTTCTTTGTCAGCTTTTAATGATAGTATATTTTTTTATACCTGTAAACGTTTTGCAATATCAATCGCCTCAATTCCCGCAGATTTTCCAAATGGTCTAATGTCAATGATAAATTCATGTGCACACATCCCGTTTTGGTTTGTAAAAAGAATTTTGTAATGAGATGCTAATCTACGAGCCATATAATTAGCATTGAGAAGTGCTATCCGAGTAGCATCTGTTAATCCTTCAGCACCTGGAAAAACATATCAACTAAGTTGTAATTCGTAAATTTATATTAACAGTTAAGATTATTTATTTACCCATCAGCTTAATATACGCCCACGAAATAGGAAGAATGGCGGCGGAACCAAAAGGAGCTGCTGCAATTGGGCCAATTCCTTGATCACCACCGGTTGAGATGATAGGATGACCCGGTAAAAAAGGAACGAGATGAGATTTACTGTATACAATAGATAATAGTTAATATATAATATTAGCAAATTGTCACGTTCATAGAAAATATTAAACATATAGCAACTTACACGCCAATTGGGCCCATTCCCGGGCCACCACCACCATGTGGAATGCAAACTAAATATAAAAGTTTAGGTTTTAACAGAATGAATAGTCAGAACATCTTTGAAATCAATAATATTTACATGTTTTGTGTAGATTCAAGTGGCAAACATCAGCACCAATTTCGGCAGGATTACATAGGCCAATCTGTGCATTAAGATTAGCACCATCCATATATACTTGACCACCGTGCTCATGTATTATTTTACATGCTTCAACGACCCCTTGTTCAAACACACCAAATGTAGAAGGATATGTGACCATGAAAGCCGCTAAATGATCCGAGTATTTGATCGCTTTATTTTCCAAATCTTTCATGTCAAGATCACCATTCGTTTGACACTTGACAGGTACGACTTTTAATCCCGCCATTGCAGCTGAAGCTGGGTTTGTCCCATGCGCAGAGACTGGAATCAGGCAAACATCGCGTTTTTCTTCGCCTTTTGATTGGTGATAAGCACGAATTACTCGAAGCCCAGTATATTCTCCTTGTGCTCCAGAATTGGGCTGCATCGATATTCCATCAAAACCGGTCACCTTAGCAAGGTCATTTTCTAACTCCTGGAAAAATTGTGTGTGAATATTTAATTTGAAAAATGACGAACTTTTTTTTGGATAAGATAAATGAATATTTAATACCTTTATTAAAATTCGGTAACCTTCAGCTTGATCAACTGGAGCAAAAGGATGAATATTAGTAAATTCTGGCCAAGTAATTGGCATCATTTCAACTGTGGCATTGAGTTTCATTGTGCAACTACCCAGCGGTATCATTGAATGCACTAAAGAAAGATCTTTAGACTGCAGATGGTAAATGTATCGAAGCATTTCAGTTTCTGAGTGATAGGAATTGAAAACAGGATGTTTCATAAAAGAACTTTTGCGAATTAATCGAGAATCAATCTCTGATTTGATTGTTTTGGCAATTTCAGCTAAATTCGGGGATTGCAAGTCACTAGTCTTCGAAAAAACTTTATTTAAAAGAATATCCAAATCCTCTTTGGTAACTGTTTCATCCAATGTGATACCAACGGTGTGCTCATTTACTTTACGTAGATTGATTTGTGCGTCAATTGCCTTTTTTATGAGAATATCTGCACCTTCATCTACATAAACATTAAGCGTGTCGAAGAATTGTTCGGTTTTGATAGTATATCCTAATTGCCGTATTGCCTCTGCCAAGATGCTTGTGAGATTGTGAACACGATGTGCAATTGCTTTTATTCCCTTTTTATGAGAAAGAAAATTAAGATTTTTATCCATTTCCATAAATTTTTATTCATATTCGATTAACAAAACTTACCTCAGGTCCATGGTAAACACCGTACATAGCAGACATATTTGCTAGTAAAGCTTGAGCTGTACATATGTTGCTAGTTGCTTTTTCTCTTCTTATGTGTTGTTCTCGTGTTTGCAAAGACAATCGATACGCTTTATTACCAAATGTATCTTTAGAAACTCCTACAAGTCGTCCAGGCATTCTTCGTTTATGCTGATCTTTACATCCAATAAATGCTGCATGTGGACCACCATAACTTAGTGGAACCCCAAAGCGTTGACTATTTCCGAGCGCAATATCAGCGCCCAATTCACCCGGTGGTACAACGATAGCCAGAGCTAAAAGATCAGTAGCGCATACAACTTGCCCTCCTAAAGAATGGATTTTTTGTGCGAGTGATGAAAAGTCGTATATTGACCCATCTGTAGCAGGATACTTGAATATATAATTATTATGTATGTCAGCAAATAAACAATTCATAAAAATTCTCTCTATATTTACTTGGATTAAGACTCCTGCCAAATCTTTATCATATTGGTCGAAATCAAAATTGAAAGAATCCCCGATAATAATACGTATACCAAAGCTTTCAGCTCGCGTGTTTAAACAAGAAATTGTTTGAGGGTGACAATTTTTATCAACGAAAAATACATTTCGCTTGCGTTGCGCAAAGGAATAGCACATCAGCATCGCTTCAGCTGCAGCAGTGCCTTCATCCAATAAGGAGGCATTTGCAATAGACATGCCGGTGAGATCCGTAACCATCGTTTGGAAATTCAGTAAAGATTCTAGTCTACCTGAAGATGTGTCATTGTCGAAACGTGTTTTTAATTTTTTCCATAAATCAAAATGATTTGGTGAAAAATATTTTTATTATTACTGACCCTGGGATATTTCTGGTTGATATGGCGTATACTATCAATTAAAAATTGGACGTAAAATCGAGCAGGAAATAAATCGATTAATTTGTAATGATGGAGTATCGCGCGGACACTTCAAGTGCTGGACTGTCTTGCAATATAGAATTTTAATACTACCTTATTTTGAAGGGGATCTGGATAGATCGATGAAGTTTTGGGCGTGAAACGCGTTACTTACTTGGGTATACCAGCCCGGAGATTCCAAGACATTTCTCAGTATTACAGGAGGAACAATTGTGTCTGTATAGCCCATTCCTATGTATGACTTGAAAGTTTTGTTCTGGGATGCAATATCACGCAGTCTTTTGATTAAAGCATTTTCAGTTAGGCCGTTTTCGAGTGAGAGTGATTTGGTGGTCCGAACGTTGGCTGGAATTGTTTTTGAAACGAGGTCCTCCAAATCTTTGACACCAACAAACGCCAGCATGCTTTTTATTTCTGTATCAGAAGGACCAATATGTCTGCGAGGAAAAGTGTCTAGGGGTGCAAACGCTTCCAACTTGCATGCAGAACTTGAAGAAAAGAACTTGTAATCTTGGTAACTTGATGAACGGGCAAGTTTATAAGAAAATTTAAAAGAAGTGGGAGATACGGTTGGTTGTTTGCGGTATATTTTTTCTACAAAAGACCCATTTAAAAACCTTCTTGGGCATTTGGATCTCAATTGCAAAAACATTTTTTTTGTCGGTTGCAAAATGCGATCACAAAAAATTTTGGTCTGTCAAAAAAAATCGTATGTTGCACGAATACTCTGTTATATATAGTAAATATGACCGGAAAAAAAATTTTCAAATTACTATATCGAGAATTTATTATGTCGACATTAAATTCAAAACGTGTTTGTGATGTAACTTATTTTAATGCAATTTTATAATTTTAGAATTTCATATATATTAATTGTGAATGGCTGAAGCTGAAATTCATGTGATTTTAATTATATGGGCGTGCTTGCAGACAAAGTGAACAAGTGCAATTAGGATGTAATTTCTCTTTCTTAGCGCTAGTATATAAATTATTAAGGTTATTCCAATGTTAAATAAAGCACTTGCTTAATTCTTTTTCCAACTTAGCACGTGGTTTTCTATTTCATTTTCGACGCTTAATTTTTTTATCATGGTATCAAAATTACGGAGTATCTCCTGTGCCTTGGGTTATTGCTTGCCATTTTCTGACGCTATTTCTTCCAGCGATCTTTTCAAATCTCTTTCTGCTTTATCGCGTTGGGAAAACCTGTATTCCAAAATTTGAATCCGCTTGCAAGCGCATTCCTCAAAACTTCGCGATAATCAACCTAATCACAACCATAAAGTAATCATTTTGTTGTTTCTTTTGCGAATCAATAGGAAAATGGAAAAATACATACCATATTGTAATAGCATGCAAGGGATAAAAAGAAAGAGACGAATAATTAGTACTTTTATTCGATTAATAAGTGTTATATTGAATAGTAATGAATTAGCGTGCAGTTATCCGGTGACAACACCAGGGAGGTACGAAACCAAGCAAGGCTTTACAGGCCCACGGATAACGCATTAGCTTTTAATAAATATCGACTTAGGTGACAACACCAGGAAAGTACGAAACTAAACAAGGCTTTACAGGTCCACTAAATGATAAGAGATTGCAAAATAATACGTGTACCTTTAACGAAACTTCAAAGGCGAGTTACGCCATAAACCAAAAAAATGATCTAAAATCATATGAATTTATGATATTGCATATGACATGGCAAAAACGATGTGACCGGAGTTGTAGATATTTATCTTGGGCGTGATAGAATGCATAGATAATATTAATAACAATAATAACTCGCATTCATTGATCAAAGTATTAAAATATTTGAATGTTTGATTTTTATTGTATGTACCAGTAACTTTACGCTTTATTTAATAAATAGTTGTAATGAGAGTAAATATAAATAAAATGTAAAAAAATATTGGAAATAATCTAGATTAAGTGAAAATAATATAATTATATTATAAAAGAAAATATTTAAGATATTATATTTAAAGATATTATATTTATAAAAAAAAGAAGATAATAATAAAAATAATTAATATAAGGAACTTGACTAGTATATTCACCCACCCTCACCTGATATTTAAAGTCACGTGTTTTAATAGTAATCATATGATTTATGATTCTTGAACAATATGAAAATGCAAACCTTTTCAAAGACTTCAAAATATAATAAAAATTATATTTCAAAAGTTCTTTCAATTTATATAAAAATTTTTGCAATATATATATTTATTATATTATGATTTTTATAATCAATTTATTTTTTAAAATACAAATTATATTTTTACAAGCATAAAAGAAATAGAAAAATTTCAATAAAGAAATTATAAAACAAAAAATAAATGATTACTTACAAATATTTCTTCAACCTTCTCAATATACATCTTTTTCATTTATAATCTGCATAATAATCCTCTCTATAATATTAAAAGTCTCTGATTTTTTTATATTATCTGTCCAAAAATCATATTTCAATACTATAATCAAAAAAAATTCTTTAATATAACAAAGAATTAACTTGTTAAATTAAATACTTTATATAATATTACATGTAATTCTAAAAGAAAATATAACTTTTTATCTGAAATTAATCAAACAAAAAAAAAATTTAACAAGAAAAAAAAATAAGATAAAAATTAAAATAACATACTATTATATAATATAAAAGTTAAGTAAAGAAAAACAGAATCTTATAAGAAAAAAAGAACTTATTAAATATGATTCATCTAGAAATCATCTTTTCTTCTTCAAAATTCTGATTTTTTTAAATAATTATATTTATATATTAAATTTGATAATACTTCTAAAAAGAAATAAAAAAAATTATTAAAGTACATATCATCTCTTATTTAAAAAAAGAAATAGAAGAAAAATATAAAATCTATATATTATATATTTATTTAAATATTATTACCGTTCTTAATAAGATGGACAAGAAAATACTAAATACAGTAATATTTATATTTAATAAGGAATAAGAACAGTATCAGTGACTGTGTGTAC